CAAGCGAGGGTCCCTGGTTCGAGTCCTGGTGGTGACAGTCAGTTTTTATTCTACCAGCACGGCCACAACCCAGGCAGCTCCAGTCCTTCAAGGAAAAGTGCAACAAGTATCTGCTGCACCTGAGCTGGCAAACAGCCCCCGACGCCCTACGAAACGGTTTAGCCCGGCGCCTCACTAGCACCCTACCTCCATCCTTACCACAATGTGATGTTATCTTTCACTCTGCTTCCCTCACGACCATCTACCCATTGTCCTCGTTCCTCACTATTATTCATTTCCCCTCCTCATGGTTTTACTGAATTATGGCGCCCTTTGTCTGCGTAGACGCCTAGATTTTCAAGGTCGGCAGGCATGCAGTCTCACTCGTATTTTAGCTCTTTTTCTGGAATGGATGCTGCTCTGCGCCCCTTGGTGAACCTTTCCTGCGCTCGTGGAGCAGCTGAAAAGGACCACTGGTATGTCTGGTTCCTGGTTTGAAAGTGGAGAGTCGACTTTTGTGCCTTGAAAAAGGAGTAGAGAGCGATAAAGGTACGTCTGTGGCTTATTTTTGAGTGCTCCTCGTACATTTTTGATCGTGATAGAAATTCTCAGACCAAAGTCAGACCAAAGTCAGCGCGATGATGGCCGTACAGTTTTCTTGTGGATTTTTTAGTTGTTTCATCTCGTATCTATGTCAGTATCGTGATGGTGAAGTGGAGAGGGTGATTTTCTTCCTCTAGGCTTCGTTCGGCCGACTTTGCTTCGTCCTCGTTGAAAAGTGATCCTGAAAAAAAGGTCGATTCGCAAAATTATGTTTATTTTGAATGTACGTGGTGACATGCGATTGCTAGTGACGGCTGAGTGTTGATTTGTTTGCGCAGCTGCCATTTTCCCGTGCTTGGGGACTATGACAGCCGGCGTTGCGGACTGCCTGCGCGTGCGAGGCACTGGCGCCGCGAGTTCTTCTGTGGCATGATAAATTTGGTTTTCCCGTTGCAAACCTACATAATTTTGTGAAGCATCAACACAATTATAAAAAACGAATATTTTTCAATTCCGCCTATCCTGGGATGGGCGCAGGTGGGATGCCGATCTTCTAATGCAGATCGATGCAGATGAGCCAGGCAGAGCCAGGGCGTTGCAAAGTACCGTTTTACGAGGTATATTATGTATCAGATTGCAACGACCAGGAGGCTCTAAGTAGTGGCTGCAAAATATTGGTTTGCGTTGCGCAAACCGTAGTTAACCTACATGTCACAGAGCCGCATCTCCCGTATGGAGATGCCGTCCGCAGACACGCCAAAACCGGCTAAGTCTCATACGAGCTCCGCTAAAGTCGTACGCACTGCCGGGCTCCCGCGCGGGGCCCCACGCAAGCATTCGCAACCGCGATGCGCGTACGGCATGCCGTATAAGCCACCTATCCGCCTTGGGTGCAAGCTCACCCAAGGCCACCCTCGCAAGGCAGGAACACGTAAAAACATTCACCAGTTGTTTGTTGTGCCTGCCCGCCGCAGAAATTGTTTGAAATTGTCTCCTCTAAGCTTCCATTCTCAGCGATAGTCTTACACCCACCATCGCTTTCTCGCAGGCACAAAGGGAGTCTATCCAGCAGATCGTGGCAGCAGCCCGCGAGGCTCAGCGGCAACGCACCGGAGAACGCCACGGAGCAAGAAGACGGTATGTGTGCTGATGAATTCATGCACTATACGCACATGGGTTACCCCTCCTGTATTTCGCACGTCTCGTTGGAGACAGTCGATCGGATCAGACGAATCGAGTACATAGATCTGGCAATACTGCTCCCGCCCAAACCTATTTCTGCCGGGGAGCCAGCCCCTAAGAGGTTCCGTATAGACGAGGAAGGGGCACTTTCGGTGACAAGCGCACCGAAAGGAAAAATTGAGAACCTTGCCACTTGGACCGATGCATGGCCTATTGTAGCCTGATCGCCATCCGCGATCACCTTTGCTGCGCCGCTGCACTGATGCAGCGTCAAATACGTATGGTACAGGCAGCCTGTCTCGGCAGTCGTGGACCATGACACGCGGGCACGCCAGGCCCTGTCAAAGGACCCAAGCCGATCCCTGGCAGAGCTCGACACGGAGCTTTTCGCGACGTGTTTCACGGGACAGGCCCTCCCCAATTGCAACATTTGCAAGAAGGTGGGGCACTTGGCCGGAGCGTGCACCTCGGCCTTTCGCGGCAAGCAGGCGAAAGAGAGTTCAAGCACTAAATCAACTGAAATCTGCCGCCACTACAATCACGGCACCTGCAGCGGCCCATGTTGCTTTCGACACGCCTGCTTCTTCTGCTCAGGCTCGCGCGCCGTGTCAGCCTGTCCAGCCAAGAAATAAGAGCGAACAGCAATCAGCCCCGGCACTACTTTCTTGCATTCACCCGCCCCTAACACCCTATGAACATTGCTGCATTACACCCCAGCACCCCTATCAATATTGATGCATTACACACTGAATTGCTGGCGCACCCAAATCCTGCATTTGTTCATTCTCTAATTAGCAATTTACGTGCCGGCTGTTGTATCGGGTTCACTGGACCCCGTGATGTGTCCGTACGCAGCCCGAACTTGTCTTCAGTGGCAGCACACCCCGAGGTCGTCGACCAGGACCTGGCCACGGAATGCAGTCGCGGCCACACCGCTGGCCCCTTCAACGCGTCGCCACTCGTCCATCTGCGCACCTCTGGCGTAGGTGTGGTCCCCAAGAAGTCGGGCAGCCACCGGCTCATCATGCACCTGTCCGCCCCCGAGGGGAACAGCGTCAAGTCGTTCATTGACAAGCAGGCCTACCATTTCTCTCTAATTACGATCGACACGATAGCAGACCATGTGCGCAGGACTAGACCTCTTGCACTGCGATAATTCAGCAGGGTGCACTGCCTGGGAGTCCGGCACGTGCCGACACGCCGGGTCATGGCCCTGATATGCAGCACCATGCAACTCGCCGCTCGCCACAACTTCTGCCTGCTCGTCCGTCACGTCGCCGGCGTCGACAACAGCATCGCAGACGCACCCTCCCGGGCCAGTTCCAGCGCTTTCACCGTCTGGTTCCGCCGCGGAGACTGCCCCATCATCACTCGCAAGTGCCCAATCCGACAACGGATAGTCGCATCCGTCTGCAGTTGGCCAAGCGCTCCAGCCGCCAATTCAAGCCCCCACCTACAGTTTCCGCTGTCAATGATTATCCATGCCCTGCAGGGGCGAACCCTTCATGGTCTATCTTACCACTCTGTGGGCTTACCGGGCTTATCCGGCCCCTTAGAACACCCCGTTTTTTTTGGGAGGAATGGTGGCCGACACCCCACAGGCCCCGAACCTGCGACCGCTGTACTCGGGGGCGCTCCATATGTACGCGACACACGTGGCTCGTACGGCGCAAACGAAATAAGGGCCAGGCACCGCGTTGCCGTGCTACCGAGGCAAATTGTAGAGGGTGTTAAGCCTACCTAGCAGTTTTTTTGTTTGCCCGTATACTAGGGGCACGGCTCCGCGAGCCTGACCTGCTCGCTGTATTGTGCTCTGCGTGTATATCCAGGCTCGCAAGCCGCACGCATAACATCCCGCCGGATGTCCACCTCCCGCTGGAGGATCGCCTGCAGACACCACCGCCGCAAGCAACGGCTCCGCGAGCCAACGCTTCGCTGCCCGCTGTCTATTGTTCTGTGTGTCTATCCAGAGTCGCTAGCCCCACTCGCATAACATCCCGCCGGATGTCCACCTCCCGCCGGAGGATCGCTTACAGACACTACCACTGCAAGCTACGGCTCCGCCGAGCCAAGGCTTCGCCGCCCGCTGTCTGTTGTTCTGTGTGTCTATCCAGGGTCGCTAGCCCGGCTCGCATAACATCCCGCCGGATGTCCACCTCCCGCTGGAGAATCGCTTACAGACACTACCGCTGCAAGCTACGGCTCCACCGAGCCAATGCTTCGCCGCCCGCTGTCTAATGTTCTGTGTGTCTGTCCAGGGTCGCCAGCCCCACTCGCATAACATCCCGCCGGATGTCCACCTCCTTCCGGAGGATCACTTACAGACACTACCGCTGCAAGCTACGGCTCCGCCGAGCCAAGGCTTCGCCGCCCGCTGTCTATTGTTCTGTGTGTCTATCCAGGGTCGCTAGCCCCGCTCGCATAACATCCCGCCAGACGTCCGCCTCCCGCTGGAGAATCGCTTACAGACACTACCGCTGCAAGCTACGGCTCCGCCGAGCCAAGGCTTCGCCGCCCGCTGTCTATTGTTCTGTGTGTCTGTCCAGGGTCGCCAGCCCTGGTTGCATAACATCCCTCCGGATGTCCACCTCCCGCCGGAAAGATCGCTTACCGCCGCAAGCCACGGCTACACAAGCCAACGCTTACGTGCCACTCCATGCCTCCACCCGCAAGGCTAAGTATCTAAAGATTAGGCCAATAGCAGAGGCTCCCAGCCCGCGGGGCTGGGGAGGAGGGGGGCTCTCGGGTCGCATTTGCATTAGCCCCACGGGATGAGGGAGAACCTCGGCCAAACCAGTACAGGAACGCCCCGCCGAGGTCAGGGGGGAGATCTCCCACTAGCATAACCCACGGGTCCCCTGCTTACAATCCGCAGCCACGCCGCCGGGCCAGTGTGTTCCGGGAAGCGGGCCGCCGTTCGGCGACTTGGAGCAGCATGCATACACCGCAGCTTGGCCGCCGTGCCATGCTGCCTGTTTAGGGAATGTGCACGTGTGCAGGCGTATGCGTGTGTGCATATGTGTTGCATGCGCTTGTGCCTGTGTCCTCCTAGGCTCGCTAGCCGCCGCTCTCTCAGCGCGAGCAGAGCACCTGATTGCCAACTCGGTAGCCACTGGCACACAGCGCACGTACGCCCCAGGCTGGCGTGCATTCCTGGAGTTCATGGGTCGCATGCGCCGCGACGCACATCACCCAGATCAGAACGACGTCATGCTGTTCGCTGCCGCAATATCTCACTCAGTCAGTGCCAGCCCTCTGAGAGTCTACCTGGCCGCGGTCATATACGCCTCCTCCGCATGGGAGGCCCGGTCGGGGTTACATCCTCAAGCCGCATCACAGCCCTGCTCAAGGGCTTAGAGAGGGAGAGAGCGTCGCTCCCCAGGCATCCGTCAGCACGCCCTCAGCGCCAAGCGATCACCGTCCACCAGCTGAAGGCTCTCCGCCAGTTCTTGGATCTCTCCTTGTACTCCCCGGCAGACAGACTAATGCTATGGGCTGGTCTGACGACAGCCTTCCACGGCCTGCTGCGTGTGAGTGAGTACACGTCGCTGTCACCACACGGTCTCGGCGGCTTCAAGACGCTGAGGCGTGAACACCTCCAACTAGCCCAGCAGGAGGCCTCTCTGCAGCTCCAGAGAACGAAGACGCCTCAATTAACAGCAGGCGGGGAAGTAGCGCTGCACCGCTTTGCTGACCCCGCACTATGTCCCGTCCGAGCCCTGCAGGCTTACGTTCGGTCCAGCAAATGGAGCAATGACAAGCAACCCCTCTTCAAGTTTCAGGATGCTCGCCATCTCATGCCGAACGACATCAATGCTGTCCTACACAAATGCTGTCCAAGCATCAGCGGCCATTCCTTACGCGCCGGGGGAGCCACACACACGGCAGATCGAGGCGCCCCACAGTATGCCCTGACGGCTGCAGGCCGCTGGTCCAGCGGGGCATATCGTACGTACATTCGCAGGCCCGCAGGCATGCCACAGCACTACTAGAGCCTGCATGTCGCAAGCCACTCGGTACCTTTATTGGAGGCACGGGTGCTGCCGATGGGCGCCGCATAGTGCACGCACATCGGCACCATTGAACTATTTATGTGTACTAAGATTTAGTGTTCCGCTGCCATAGCAACCTAGTAGTACACGTAGCCGTTCCGACGGCGCAGGACCCCGCGGGTCGCTTCTGCTGTCCTTGCCTCTCTGATGCCTGATATGCGTACATCATTTATAATCATGACCTCATACTTAGTACATGTACGTCATACTTGATTACCGATCACAGGCTCATGATTATTCATGCTGGAATAAACGCTTGCGACACCCCACAGGCTCGTCTCTCTTGTGTGGCATGAGGGTTAAGTACAGGTTCCTGCACGAGTATGAGGGCAGTACCGCGGAATCCAGCCCGCGCCACGATAGCGGCAAGGGCTGGATGAACAGCGGTACTGGCCGAGTATGAGTGTCTGGAACGTGTTTCCCGTGTGCACCCAAGCCAAATGCTTTTTGGTCCCGTATATCCATAATAGACATCCTTAGCAAAAGTACGATAACGCTAACTTTTACGGTACTCACTCCCAGCCGTGACAAAAGACGTTATCGGATAACGGAAAAACGTTACAGAGCTCAAAATAACGGGCCGACGTTCGTTATGGAAATTCTGCAAAAAATGCAAAAACTCGCATTGTTTTGTAACTGGCGGGAGATAAAAAGCACGTCGTGCAGATCGAGAGTCGAGATTGCTTCTTCTTGTGACATTTAGCTTTTTGGCGAGTTTTGCCTTTCAGTTGACAATTTCTGCGTCCTCTGCTTCGTGCCTTTCTCCCTCTATCCCATCTGGGAAACAAAGGACCAGTTCCACGGCACTCCTGAGGAAGAAATTCATCGGCCTCTCCCAGACGTGCTGGAGCTGGAGAACCCTTACAGTCTTCGGTGCTGCGTTTAGGAAAGGGTTTCCAAGGACCTGGGAACAGCGAAAACTCATGTTCGCCGTGCTTTTGCTATTCCAGAGTAAAATACCTCGCCAAGGTATTCTTTCGGAACGACAGCAAACTAATCCCTGGTTCAAAATTTTGAATTTCCCGCACCTGTTCCACGAAAATTCATATCGCCATGGTTGTCACGACTACTTCGTCTCAACTATAACGTACTTTGTGCTAAGGGAAAAGTCAGCTTGAACGATCCGAAGTACGGAAAGGTTTGCGTTTACGTTAGCGTTTTTTTAGCTAAGGCCAAACTAAAGAAGGTGTGTGGTTCGACTCACCCGACCGACCGTACAATTTCAGCCCGACCGTAACTTTTTTTCGGCGGGCTGTCGTGTGACTGACGTAGATCTACGTGGACTGAACACGTCCACATGGTCTACGTGCTGTGCGGCGTGAGTCTGCGGACGCAGGCGGCTCCTTTTGGACTTGACTTGTAGTTGTACTGCAGTGCAGTGCAGTGAGTGGTACGACTGCTGCCTTGTGCTGGTAGTAGAGTCTACTCGATACGCGTATACAGTGTATTTACATGTACTAAAAAATATATTAAAAAAAAAAAAATCCGCCCGCCCGCCCGTAAAAAAAATGTCCATGTTAGTCGAACCACACACCTTCTTTAGTTTGGCCTAAGGATATCTAATCACTCTACTGTACTCTGTACTCTGTACTCTGTACCGATCTCTCACGTTGTCAGTTTCAGTTGCCTCGTGACATACGGGAATGACCGATATCCGTCAATCGCAGCTCCGCATCAGAGACCTGAAAGCTCTACGCATTCTCTATCATTTGCACATGGCAAACCTTTGTTCCCCTTGAACGGGAGCGAAAAGTCACTTTTTGGCACCTTGGCCTGTGGACTATGTAGCTGGCCTGAAGAGTTGTAAAATTACTCCTTCGTAGCCGGGCGAGTCAGAGCGAGGGCGATTCACGGCTTTATAGGGGATTCACACACACGGGAAAACCTGAGGTCACGGGACAAGGTAAAAGTTCAGACCGTCGGGCAACTGAGTGGGACCGTTCACACGCGTGGTCACTTTTCCCTTGGCCTCATGTCTGACCATGAATTTGTGGCGGGGAGTACAAAACGTAGTCTGTACTGCATTTTTTGTAGTACATTTAGTACTATGTTTCGCATTCGCAATGCGCAATGCGTGGGTCCATTGTCTGCAATGCGTGCGAGCGCACTGCCTGAAAATGCGGGTTGCGATGCACTCGTACAACTAGGGTTCAGAGTTCTCGCCAAAGACAAGATCTACGCATGTGCGTCGAATAGCCGTGGACTTTTCCCTTGACAAACGCCCTGAGGCCCACGGCCACGGCTTTGCCAATTTTTTCCCGACAGATTCTTCCTTTCCCCCAGTACCATAGTTTCCATAACAACTTTCCCATAACCGTGGTTTTACCCGTGTGTGTGAATCCCCTAGTCAAAAAACTGTCACCCAGGAACGTAAACGTCGATCTGCCGACAGAGTTCACCTCAGTGACCTGGTTCACACCCTGACCTGGCATGCTGCCTTGCGTGAAAGGAACATTTTTCGGAAACCAAGCTTCTTCTCCAAAATTCGAAATTTCCATCCAAAAATGCCGTCGTCCTTGACCTCGAAGCTGAATGTTGTTAGGATAGAAAATTAGCGAAGATGTAGCCGACCCATTCTGGCAAGCCGTGTGCCCTCTGGATATGCAGTTGTTCGCCATGGTCAACAATCTTCTTCTCCTTCGTTCGTACTTTTCACTTTCCTGACCACGAATACAAGCGGTACCCATGCTCAGGTTAGTGTTTATTTGTCTGTCTATGCACATACATGTAATACAATGTACTGTTCGTGCTGCAGGCACTGGCCGATCATGGAAATAGAGGAAGCAGCCAGCTTTCTTTGAATTCTCGTGCTTTCAACAAAAATATGTACATGTACACACTTTCCTTGGCTCCTCTTTCCCACCGCCGCCATGCATGCACGATCGAGCTGGTTTTAATGCCCTGCAGTGCAGAATGCTACCATCACTGCAACTACCACCGCCGCCACCACTACCAGCAGCAGCAGCAGCACCACCACCACCACCACCACCACCACCACCACCACCTCCACCACCACCACCACCTCCACCACCACCACCACCACCACCACCACCACCACCACTGTGACCACCTCCACTACCACCACCACCACCACTGTGACCACCACCACCACCACCACCACTACCACCACACCACCACCACTACCATCACCATGACCACCACTATAGAAGCATTGCCGTGCACGGCACGTCTGCAAAAGAAAATAATAGTATGCCAGTGCTGTAATGCCCTGCAGTGCAGTTTGCTCCCGCCACCACCACCACCACCACCACCACTATGGAAGCATTGTCACGCACTTTACATCGATCCACAAGAGAAAATATGCCAGTGACTTACTAGCATCTCCATGCTGCATGCAGACCTGGACACAGCACTGTTCCCTCTGCAGGAAAGAGGGCGGGGGGGGGGGGGTATTTCATTGTCCCTGCCTGAAGTAAAAATGACTACCGTACTGGCAATATATGTTGCCGCAGTGAGGCCATGAAGCGTTACATTGGCACATGTTTGCCGCACGCAGGGCGTTACATGCAAAGTCGCACAGGAGCCGTTACACAGGTTTCTATATTGCCGCAGTCCTTTTTTTCCTATTGCCGTATCACTTTTTTTGCTATTGCCGCATCATTTTTTTGCTTTTGCCGCATCATTTTTTCTTTTCATCCACATTGAAGGCACAGAAATTCAGTTGCTATCCAACTGTTACAAACCCGACGGCAAAGGGCGACAACGATATCAATAGAAGACTGTATATTTTAACTATCAGAGTGATCTGTTCACAAAAAGATCATCAAAAGGAAAGTGACATAGGGGAAGAGCGCTTCCTCCAAAAACTACTTTTCACCACGCGGTACACGTGCTTTCACAGTTTTCAGCCTTTTTTTTGCAGTGCAAACTGCAATGAAAAGATCGCCGCACCCCGCCGGACGCGCGTTACGAACTCAACGAAAATTTGTCGCACTAGCCTGGTCCCGCGTTACGCCGCACCCCCCTGCGTTACGCGTTACGCGGCAACATATATTGCCAGTACGGTACATGACATGATGTCCAGCTAACTTTGCCAGTAACGAACGACCCTTGATCGGGCATGAGAAAAGTGTTGCTATTTGGGAGTTGTCGTCATTCACGGGGTTGAAAATATACAGCTCTATTGTTACTAGGTCTGAAGATAGTGTCACTATCCGTGGGTTGTTATACCCGTGGTTGACTGCAGATACGTTTGGATTATTCTATGAGTATATGAAGGGTATACGTTAAATATTTTCCCGAGGACATAGCACGAGGAAATTATGGGGAATGCAGTACATGTATAGAATGGTGCAATCCATTTCTCCCAGAGGGCACTTTCCCAAGACTCCTTCCAATATTCACTCTTGGCGCGACCCATGTGAACTGAGCGGGGTGTATCGGTGAATATACCTCTCTCAGAAGGTCTACTGATTGGCTGAAATCGCCCAAATCATACCGTGCCATGGATCAATGCACGTCAGGGAGTCGTAGCACCCAAGGAAACAACACGAGATCATGATACCCAAAATGATGTACTGTAAAAGCGGAAATTTTTAGTGGTGTTTTATTTTCAGAAACTTCGGTGCCGACAATTTTTACCGAAAAAATGCACCGAAATATTTCAGTACTACGTACTAGTACCCTTACCTGGAAAGCGGGTATTACCGAAAATTGCGCTCCGCCGATTTTGGAGAATTCCGAAAATATTACACCACCGAAAATTTCTGCTTTTACAGTACACAGATTGGATCCATGGAGATTCTACATGATCTGTGGTTTATGCAACTCGTGATCGCGAACTTGACCCACTGGCCCCAAGCATGGGTCAGTCAAGCGATGCTATATGCGAGCATGTATGTATCGCACTTACCCCTAAGGCAGTAAGGGCAACTGTCACTGGCAGCCCGGGGTGGAACCCACATTATTAATTTTTGAAA